CTTCTTCTTCTTCTTCTTCTTCTTCTTCTTCTTCTTCTTCCTCCTCCTCCTCCTCCTTCCCCTCCTCCTCCCCCTCCTCCTTCCCCTCCTCCTCCTCCTTCTCCTCCTCCTCCTCCTCCTCCTCCTCCTCCTCTTTCTTCTTCTTCTTCTTCTCTGTGGTCTGGTGATCCACCTGGGCAAGTGTGGCGAGCGTGGTAGCTAAGCTGGTTGGGGCTCCGGCATTGTAAGTGAGAGGTTAGGCCCAAACTCAAGTGCACATGCTAGTTGGTGTTAGAGCATGGCATCCCACATACTTGGTACCCCAGCCTAGTGCAGCATACAGGATGGAGATATGTAAAGGTATGGGAGACTTTCGGCTTGATATCTAGCCGAGACATCTGGGTTATTATGGCTTCGCCCCTAGCTGTTGCATGTGGGGTAATCATAGCTCGACCCCTAGCCGTCAGATCTGGGGATCAGCTTAGAGGGGGCTGTCTAGTGAGGGGTGGTGCTGCTCAGAGTTACAGGTGGTAGAGTAGGAAAGGGTTGGAGGGTTGGTCAATCCCTGAGGAGCATCACTCTGTGAAGGGAAGGCATCACTTGGGTGGGTGGTGAGTATCCTTGTAGGGAGCGAGAGTAGATAACCGGGCTATTTTCTGCCGGGATGACTGACTCTTGCTTGCCTGTCTTGGGGGTTGTAGGTAGTAGCAGAGAGGGTGGGGTTGGGGGGACGGTTACAGCTGGGCTGGGCATTATGCTGTGTGCTTTTTTTTGGGGGGGGAGACCTTTGACAAAATGGTTAGTTACCGTATTAAATGTCGTTGGGACCCCTCCATACGTGCTGACCGTCCAGACTGCTGGGTTTTTTTTTTTTTTTTTTTTTTTTTTTTTTTTTTTTTTTTTTTTTTTTTGACGGAGCTGCTATTCGAAATTGACATTCCATCAGATGTGATGGACCATAAGGATATAACAAAAGCCATCGATTCACAGAGCAGGATTTTCTTGGCGGATCGCAGGACAAGCTAAGGATTTCAGCAAGCCTCTCAACAGCCCTAGACGAGAGGAATGCCGCTAAGAAGCACTGTGAGCTCCTGGTGAGTTTTTTTTTTTTTTTTTTTTTTTTTTTTTTTTTTCTTTTTTTTAAAAAAAAAGCTCCAAGTTTTTAAAGGGGAGGGGGGGGGGGGGGGGGGGGGGGGGGGGGGGGCATGGGTCTGATAAGGAGGGGTGGGGGTGGGGGGTTTGTTTTTTTTTTTTTTTTTTTTTTTTTAAGCCTGGAACTTTAACTGTCTTATCTCTTTTTTTTTTTTTTTTTTTTCAAGTGCTCCATCTATTGGTGGGGAGCGTCACCTGCTGGAAACCGGGTCCAGCGTCCCATAATTAGTAATTACATATTTTGAAACCACCACCACCACCAACAACAACAACAACAACAACAACAACAACAACAACAAAGAAGAAGAAGAAGAAGAAGAATGGAGAGGAAGAAGATAGGTTTGACCCGTCAAGGCCCCCATGTCCCCTCCCGACTTAACCTGGGTCATTGAAAGTTTAGGCCAAATTGACTTGTGTATTATAACTAGCACTATTAGCGTCACTGTTGCAGTGGCTCTATATGGTTCGATTGACTTACTGCAAACTGCTGGGCTGCCTCCGTCTACTTACCCACATTCTTATCATGCCTTTTTTTTGCAGGAGAAATACTCAGAACAAGTCAACCGCCTGCAATCCGAGCTGTCAAAAACAGAGTCAGACAAGAACGAACTGCAGCAAACACTGAAGGAGTTGCGCCAGGTATATGTCTGCATGCTTCTTCTTCTTCTTTCTTCCTCCTCCTGCTCCTCCTCCTCTTCTTCTTTCTCTGCCTCCTCCTCCTCTTCTTCATTCTCTGCCTCCTCCTCCTCCTCTTCTTCTTTCTCTGCCTCCTCCTCCTCTTCTTCTTTCTCCTCCTCCTCCTCCTCCTCCTCCTTATACACATCTGGTGTGTGCTGTCGAACAAACTGTTTTTTTGGAAAAAATCAT